GGATTTATTTATGTTTACATGCAAACTTATATGCATATCACCTTTAAAATTCAGGTATAGATAAACTCTTACCGAATCTATACAATTAATACGCAAATTTAGGAATTTAGGTAAGTAATACGTATAGGTCAAATTCTATTAAAGTTAAAAAAAATAAGACTTAATTAAACAAATACATATTTATTTACTGATTTATTTCACACATATAAACAAATAAACTCTTTAACCGAAACAAATTATCAGAATTTTTGAAAACTTTTTAAAAGATTAGACATTTGAACCGAATATAAAATTTTTATTCAATTTTTATTCAATTTTTATTCAATTTTTATTCAAAATGGGGATAAATCAGGTCCGTGTTTACTCCGATTCAAACTAAACAAAGGATATTTACTAAATTATTAAGATCCGTCAATTAACCCAATAATAGACATAAATTCATTTCCAAAAAAAAAAGAGATTCGTCAAGAAAAATGAGGGTATGTATTGATAACATATTAGATTCGTAAACTTTATTCTTTTAGGTAAGATATTTATTTCTTTGGTTCTTGTTTATGATTTGTTTAATGTTTTTAATAATTATCAAAGGAAAAAAAATATTGTTAACATTCATTGATAATATTGATAATATTGATCATATTGATAATATTGATAATATTGATAATTCTTGATACACAAATAAATATGCATGGCAATTGGTGATAGTTTCATGAATAAACTAACTGTTTGGTTCATTTTGAATAAATAGGAATTTGTGGTTTAACGGTCATATGGAAATTGTTTCAAAGAATGAAGAGTTTCTTAAAGAAAAGAATTTTTGATTAATTTATGCGTTAAAGAAAAATTAACACAAATGGTTAGTAAAGATAATTAACACAAATGGTTAGTGTTTGAATGAAAAACAGGTATCGGTATACGATCTCCCGCTTAAATTATCCCCAATATTTTTAACTAACTTTAGGGTTGTAGAATCTAAATGATAAACAGGTTTTTGATGAATAATTGGAACCAAAAGAATGGAAATGCATGTGGTAAATGCATATCGGTTAATTCTTTATCCTTTTATTTTGAAGATGAATGCTAATCAAATAGATAATCTTTAATATTCATGAATCCATGTATCGACAATGCTCATGAAATTGATTCTCAGTCCGTGCGCGACGCACTTATCATTTCTCGTCATTCGTCACAAATCACTGTAAAAAGTCTGTGCATTAAGTATGATCTTGTCAATCCTTTTCAATCCTTTCAATCCTTTCAATCCTTTTAATCCTTTCAATCCTTTCAATCCTTTTAATCCCTTCAATCCTTTTAATCCTTTTAATCCTTTCAGTCTTTTTCAAGTTTAAGGTAAACGTAATTTTAATGAAATATATATTAATGTAACATTGATACGTATTAATGATATCAATGAAACATTGTAATATCGATTATCGTATTAACGTAGTAATTTTATAAGAAATTGAATGCAGTTTCGAAAGAATTCAAATGATCTACAAATGAATTGCAAATTCTTGTAATAATTGTTCGGAGATGATGAAATGACTGTGGAAATCAAAGCTTAAAACGATCATTATTTTTTCCTTGTACACGAACTTTTTTGAAAGATAAAGAAGTATCACAAATAATAAATAAGACCACAAATTTGTGCTTTCCCGATATACTTTTCATTACGTATTTTTTTGTGGGACAATTTACCGCGACAATTCAATGAAATTATCCGACAAATTTGGAAATAGATCAGAAAGCTTTTAGAACACAACAACGCCTATTTCCACCAAAACAAGAAATTATTCAGGTATCCCTTGTTTCAATTGCTAATAATTACTAATTCATTTTACCGGATTTTTTTTTTAAAGTGAATAAATCATTCTTACTTTTAACCTAACCTGGCCTTGATCGTAACCATTAAGACCTCCTTGTTTGAAATCAGGCTTTAATGATACGTGACACCTGGATTATCGACATGAAATAAGGTAATACGAATTATTATCTAAATTCTCGAAGCCTCTTATTCCGCAATTTTGGTCAATGAATTTGGGTAATTTCATTCTAGGTGATCTATGCCAAAATAAAACAAATTTCCAAGATAGTCAATGACCATTTTGCTTGTGATTAAAGAACTTGAATAGTAAGTTTCATGTTTCTTGACAAGTGATTCTTAACTGTGCCTTATTGGCGGTGTTTTTTTTTTAAAAAAAAAAAATAATAATAATCTTTTTGGTGTTAATATCTTTAAAAATATAAAACTGATTGAAAACCTGATTTTTAATGCAAGATAATTTTGGCTTGTCATTTAAATTAGGTAAAATACTTAAGGTATTTCTGTAACGTACGTATAGCCATGTACTTCAAAAAAAAACCTAATTACGTATCAATTTACATAAAATTATATATATATGTATTTATATATCGATATAATCGATATATATATACATATATATACACATATATACAGTATATACATATACATATATACCGGTATCTATATATAGATATATAGATCATATAATTAATATATGGTTATATATAGTACGTATATAATCGTATATAATGTATATATATCTACATATTTATATATCTATATCTACATATACGTATATACATTACGTGTGTTCTTCGTATTTTGTATTTATATTTTTCTAGGTGGATTCAAAATTGTAAACCATATGGTTCCACGATACACCTTTTTTAAACCATGTGTGAGAACAATATTTAATACTAGTGTATCAAAATTACTTGTTAAGATCTAGTGAAGTGACCTTTTTTTATCCCTCGAAAATTTACTTTGCCCCGGCATTCGGTAAGAGTTTATCTATACCTGAATTTTAAAGGTGATATGCATATAAGTTTGCATGTAAACATAAATAAATCC